ATTTTTTGGGAATTGAAGTTGCTCGCTCTAAAAATGGGATATTTATCTCACAGAGAAAATATGTGCTTGACCAGTTGAAGGAAACTGAGATGCTTGGCTGCAAGGCCTGTACCACTCCACTGGAACCCAATCAGAAATTGGGGGATGATGAAGGAGGAGAAGCTGTTGATAGGGGGAGCTATCAGCGATTAGTGGGTAAGCTCATTTACCTATCTCACTCCCGTCCTGATATTGTTATTGCTGTTGCTGTCAGTGTGGTTAGTCAGTTTATGCATGCTCCTTATCAGATTCACCTTGAGGCCGTCATGAGAATCTTGCGGTACTTGAAGTCTGCTCCTGGTAAGGGTCTTTATTTTTCAAAGTATGATCATCTTCGTGTGGAAGCCTATACAGATGCTGACTGGGCTGGGTCAGTCACTGATAGGAGATCGACTTCAAGGTATTGCACCTTTGTTGGAGGCAACCTAGTTTCTTGGAGGAGTAAGAAACAGAATATGGTTGCCAGGTCAAGTGCAGAAGCTGAGTTTAGAGCTATGGCACAAGGTATGTGTGAACTTTTATGGATCAAGTTATTGTTGAGTGATCTAGGTATTGATCAGACGGACTCCATACGGTTATACTGTGATAATAAGGCCGCCATCAACATCGCTCACAATCCGGTTCAACATGACAAGACAAAACATGTTGAGATTGATCGCCACTTCATAAAGGAGAAACTCACTAGTGGTACCATTTGTGCTCCTTTTGTCCAGTCTGGTGAACAACTTGCTGACATTCTCACCAAGGGGGTTGGGAATAAACCATTTCATGACATATTAGGCAAGCTGGGCAAGCTAGTTACTCAAGCTTCACTTCCAAGCGTCCTTTGCAGTGTTCGATTATAATGAGACAGATTGCTCTAAAGAAATAGACTTTGATGCACGAGAAATGCAAGAACAGCACAGTCCAACCATTAGTGAAGTAGTTGTATGTACAGTTGTGTCTGAGGCTAATGAGTCGACTCTTGTGGCGGAGTCTAAAACTGGAGCAATCAACAACAACAATGATTGGATCATTGATTCAGGATGCTCTAACCACATGACTGGTGACGAGGAGAAGCTGTCCAGCATGTCCGAGTACATAAGAGGCTGGGTAGTAGTGACCGCTGATAATACAAGGCTGCCGATCACCCATGCTGGTAAGACAATCATCACTCCTCGCTTCAACTCTAACAAAATACATCTGCAGGATGTCTATCACGTGCCAGGGATGAAAAAGAATCTGTTATCAGGCTTGCAACTCACATCCTTGGGCAACTATGTGTTATTCGGCCCAGAGAATGTGAAGGTTTACTACAAGGTTAAGTTATCTGGTATTCCCATCATGAAGGGAAAACGGTTGGAGTCTATCTACGTAATGTTAGCAGAATCAACCTATGTAGATAAGACTCGAAAGAATGAGACTGCAGACCTTTGGCATGTACGCTTGGGTCACGTGAACTATCACAAGCTAAAAATAATGATGAAGAAGTCTATGCTCAAGGGCCTTCCTCAACTGGATATTCAAGAAGATATAATTTGTGCCGGATGTCATTATGGTAAGGCACATCAGTTACCATATGAAGATTCAAAGTATAGAGCTAAGGAACCCTTAGAGCTTATCCACTCAGATGTCTTCAGACCAGTAAAACAAGCATCAATCAGTGGAATGCGCTACATGGTGACCTTCATCGACGACTTCTGAAGGTACGTGTGGATGTATTTTATGAAAAGAAGTCTAAAGTTCTGGCCAAGTTCAAATAATTTCGTAAGAAGGTTGAAAGCGAGCTTGGAAAGAAAATTCGATACTTGCGAACAGATAATGGAGGAGAATATTCATCAGATGAGTTCTCTAACTATCTTAGAGGATGCCAAATTCGACATTAGTTTACTTGCTCAGGTACTCCACAACAGAATGGAATGGCTGAAAGAAATAATAGGCTTCTTGCAGAAACTTGTCGGAGCATGATACATGCTAAAAATGTGCCTAGCAAATTTTGGGCTGAATGTATGAAGATAATAGCTCATGTGATCAACAGGCTAGCGTAGGTAGGTTTGGGGCTGGTCTCACCTTTCCAGAAGTTATGGCACACAAAGCCCATAGTAAGTCACTTTCGAGTATTCGGATGTGTCTGCTACATATTTGTGCCAAATCATCTATGTAGCAAGTTCGATAAGAAGGCAATTTGTTGCATCTTCGTGAGCTACGACAGTCAAAGGAAAGGGTGACAATGTTGCAACCCCACCACTAGCCGCTGTTATACTTCAAGGAATGTTGCATTTGACGAAGCCTTATCTTGGTGGTCTTCACAAGATGTACCATTGCCGGACTCTAGAAATTTAGAAGATCAATTACAAGAAATGCCGGGGGAGCAAAGACAAGAGAAAGAGGCACCTCCTAGTTTAGAAATCATCATGGAGCCAGTATCAACACAAAGTGATGATGAGCTAGAGCCTGACCTGTCAAAGACACCAAAAAGATTTTCAAGTTTGTGGAAAATAGGTGTCCATCACAAGAGTCCAGAAGAAGTTAGCCTGAGCCAACAAGAAGAGGTTAAAGAGATTGGACCAAAACTCAGAAGGTCAGAAAGACAATTTAAGCCTAATCCGAAGTATGCAAATGCTGCTCTAACTGAAGAAGATAGCATTACAAAGCCAACGACGTTTGAAAAGGCATCCCAAAGCAAAGTATGGCAGGAGGCAATGGAGGAAGAGATTCAAGCCCTCAAACAGAATCAAACAGGGGATCTAGTTCCTAAGCCCAAGGACGTGAAGCCGATATCATGTAAGTGGGTGTACGAAGTAAAAACTCGTCCTAATGGATCGATTGAAAGGTACAAAGCACGTCTAGTGGCTCGAGGCTTCTCACAGCAATACAGATTAGACTACGATGAAACATTTAGTCTAGTAGCAAAGATCACAACGGTGCGAGTACTAATAACACTTGCAGCCAGCAAGTCTTGGAAGCTGTGGCAGATGGACGTAAAGAATGCTTTTTTGCACGGTGAGATAGATCGAGATATATATATAGAGCAGCCCGAGGGGTTTGAAAGGAAAGTCCATCTAACTTATGTCTGCAAATTAAAGAAAACCTTGTATGGCTTAAAGCAAGCGTCGAGGGCATGGTATGGCAAAATAGCAGAATTTTTAGTACAAAGCGGGTACTTGGTGGCACCAACGGACTTGAGCCTATTTGTTAAGTCTCAAGGTGGGAAACTAGCTACAGTGCTAGTATATGTGGATGACTTAATCATCACCGGAGATGATAAAGAAGAGATCCAAAGGACAAGAGAGAACTTGTCAGTACGATTTCAAATGAAGGAGCTTGGATAACTCAAGCATTTTCTTGGGCTTGAAGCAGAACAAAGCAACAAAGGCTTATTCCTCTGCCAGCAGAAATATGCTAAAAATTTGCTGTAGAAGTATGGGATGCTTGAGTGTAAGCCAGTTTCTACACCAATGGAGTTGAATGCCAAGTTATGCTCAGAAGAAGGTAAAGACTTGGAAGATGCAGCTATGTATCAGCAACTAGTAGGTAGTTTGATCTACCTCATCCTCACTCGGCCAGACATTATATATGCAGTTGGTGTAGTAAGCCGGTATATGCAAAAGCCAAAGAAACCTCCTCATCTAGAAGCAGTTCGCCGAATACTCCAATATGTGAAGGGTACAATTGACTTCGGTCTTTTGTACAATAAAGGCGAAACATGCAAGGTAATTTGGCTATTGTGATGCCGATTATGCAGACATCATGACACACGGAGGTCGACTACTGGGTACGTGTTCAGCCTTGGTTTAGGAGCAATCTCTTGGTACAGTAAAAGACAACCTACAGTATCATTATCTACCACAGAGGCTGAATACAGAGCATCAACAATGGCAGCTCAAGAAAGCACATGGCTTATTCAATTAATGAAGGATCTACACCAACAAGTTGACTATGGAGTATTGTTGCACTGTGACAATCAGTCAGCAATACGTTTGGCTGAGAATCTAGTGTTTCAAACAAAAACAAAGCATGTGGAGGTACATTACCATTTCATTCGAGAGAAAGTGCTCCAAGGAGAGATAGAGATGAAATCAATCAGAACAGATGTCTAAGTAGCAAACTTGTTTACTAGAGGACTTGGAGCTTCAAAGTTTTTAGAGCTTCGGAAGCAACTCGGCTTAACTACAAAAGAAGAACTAAATAAAGGAGTCAATGCTGAGGGGGAGTGTTAAGAGTCATCATTGACTTTTCTAGAATTATCTAGGCTATTAATTGCATATGTTGAATAATCTAGAAGACTTTAGAAAGATCTAAAGAAATCCGGAAGATTCTAGAACATTGTAGAAGATTCCGGAACATTAGAGAAGCTTGTAGAAATCTAGAAGGGTTTTGGAAGATTCTAGAATATTTTAGAAGTATAGAAAGTACTATTATATAGTAGAATAGGTTAGAGAGTTCTAGAATATGGGAAAGTATGTGTATATGCTAGAATATTCTAGAGGGTTAATAATATCCCTTGGATCAAAATGATCTTAGCCATCCATTGAAGAGGTAGATGACTATATAAAGGGAAGTGGCCTCATTTGGAAGATATAACAACAAAGAGTGGAGTCAAGTGCTTGAGTGTGAGTAATTCCAAAAGTGAGGTGTCCTTGAGAGTCTTCTTATATACTTGAGTGTATGTTTGTATCTAAATAAAGATTCACTTTTGTACAGTCGTTGTGTTCTAACTCAACAAAAGATAGGATCAAACTCTAAATATTTGGCATAAAAACAAAATTTGAATTCAACACAACAGTAAGAGAGTTTGAAACTTCCGTGAAGATGACAGACAATACATGCTTTTCTGCAATATATCAATATCAGTGATGGCATAATATTATATCAGCAGCAACAAAATAAAAAATAAAAAATAATAACTCAACATAATAGATTAAGGTATTGCAAACAGAGAACTATCTCAGAGAATTATGATGATCACTACAATAGCTCACCTAACGTGAGTGCAGAGAAGAACATACGAGCGTATAATGTGAAATAGCAGGCGGGGAGAGAAATCTTGATCCAAAGCCAAACAAGTAACCTTTGTGAACAAATTTGACAAAGAGAACATTTGAGACACGGAAACTTTGCCTAAAAAATAATGCAATCACAATTTGAATAATGAGTCTGTACACTGGTTATATATACCAGATGCTCCCACGTATTAATCAATCTCTTCAGCAGCTGATCACAGGTTGGACTACAAATATAAGACATCCCTGATTCATCCTGCATAATGGCTTCAAAAATGTGCATTCCAATCTGTACCAACATGTTTGACATAAACAAGTAACAAATCATCATTAAACATGTAGTAGGAAGCAAAATGCATTTATGGTCTGTTGCTTTACCATCATCAACGGAGCCAAGAAAAAAAAAATACTGACAAATATTGAATTTTGACAATTACCGCTAAATATAGATATAGTCTGTGGTTCTCTAACACATAGAAAGTGGAAAAGAGAAAAAGTCACTCCTCATGGCAATACAAGACTTCTCTCCAATCCACAATCCTTGATGAACCCATGGTCTTAGCCTCCAATCTACAATCCTCCAATGATCCCAAGCATGGGTGCCTAAGTCATCCTCCCAACGTAGACAGCCAAGTGATTAAATAGAATCCATGAGCATATAAGGGAGACATAGGTGAGCCAAGGGCCCAACTATGCTACCATTGAGCGGGACTGAGTAGGGAGAGAGTCATCCCATGTGCCCCTTATTGGAATGAGGTGTGAAGGACCATGGTAAGTGAAGGATCTAGGTGAGCCATGGTGCTGCCGAGAGCGAGCGAGCTTGGCTCTGCTGCGCAAACCATGTCAGACTCTTCATACTTAGACTCATTTTCCTTGGAGCTCTTACTACTAGTGTGGCAGCCGCACTAGTGAGCTCATACTTGGTGGTGTGTACTCCCCAGCTTTGGCTAGGCATACTACCCTAATTGTGGTTGTGGTGCCTCGAAGGTCTGCCACATGAGGGTGTGATGGTGATGACGTGGAACCCGTAGGGCTCGCCACGTGTCAGGCGTGGTCCAAGTACCAACATAAGGCGTCACAGCTTGAGAGTTAAGTGTCACAAACTAAAATTCCAAATGTCAAACCCACTGTATATGCATCCGTGAACTCTGATTTTTAAATAGCATATAGTTCAGTGTGACATATGAAGAAGCCTGCTCCATCATTTTGTCTATTTCAATTTTCACTCTATTGCAATGATACGTGAGCAGAAATTTACAAGACTAAGAGAATTGAGAATATAGATGAATGCATGTCATACCACTTTGGAGAGCTCACTTCCAATCTCTATGCTGATCTGACAGACTTCAACCATATTGCTTTCCAGAGCCCATTGAATGATCTCAGGTTCTCTAGCCTTGAAAACAATTTTTTTTAAAAGAAAGAAACAGAAGATCAACTTCTTTGCCAAGATATCCTTTCTTATTAAAGTGTTTAAAAATAAGGTACCTGGCATAGAATGCCAAACACAGAGAGGGCAACAGCTCGAACATTTTCATAAATCTCTGATGGGCTATCAAACAGTATCAGGGGTACCAAGAAATTGGGCACATAAGCTATATTAAGCAGAGAATAAAAGAAAGGTCATGAAAACTTCTTAATGAAGACAAATAGTTAAACATGTAAGATTCATGCATATTTGTAGTGTCATGGGATCGTCATGGGATCTTACATTTAACAAACTTATATCTTGTTTCTTTGTTTGCTGCAATGCACTGCAACAAAAATAGGCTATCAAACCAAAAAGAAATGAAAGAAAATTCCTAATAACATAGAAAATAAAAACACAAGGGAAGACATAAGCAATAAGTGTTGATTACCTGAAATAGGGTAAGAACATTAACAAGACGCTTAGTTGCTCTTACGGTCAGACTTCCATCTACCATCAATTGTGAAAATGCCAGAACTTCCTGTTTCAAAAAACACAATTGTGGTCAGAGCCTTTCATGGACCCTCCAGTTATATGCTGAGAATAAGGAGGAATAGAACCAAAAGTTTGAACGCCATACTTTTTGCTCTTTTGATTTTAGAAAATGAACATGATGAGACACACGGTTGCATAGGAGGTTCAGTTAACTAATTTTCTTTCATCATGAATAATGAAAATAAAAGACTTCAATGTTTTTTTTTTTTTTTAGAAAATAGTTTTCAAAAAATTCTACTTTTTTATTTTTCATATTTTAATGTTTTCAATGAATTTTTTTAATATTTAAAGTATTTTTTTTAAAAAATTTTTAGACACATCTAACATAAATATACTTAAAAAATATAATATTTGTGAAAAAATCTTTAAAAATATAGTAAATACAAAAAAAGAAAATACAAAAAAAAAAAGAAAAGAAAAAGAAATTTAGTACACCTCTTGTATTTTGTATATTTATTAATTTTTAAAAATATTTTTCACAAATATTTTACTATTTAGATACATCTAGGTAAGGTACATCTAAAAAAGTAAAAAAATTACTTAAAATTTAAAATATATTCACTAAAAACAAAAAAAAAAAAACGAAAAACAAAAAAATCAATTTAAAAAAAACTGAATTTAGAAAACTGAAACCAAACACTGAATATTTCAAACCTGTAGCAAGACAGCTATAGTGCTGCATGAATTATATAACAAGAACCCTGTCCTGTAGTAATTTTCTGGATCTTCTTCTCTTTTCTGTCAACAACCAGAAAAAAAGGAAAATTTCTGAAGCCCATTGAGGTGATAGTCAACAAACATGGAAATAAAAATTAGAATTAATTTTAAATAAACAAATTAATGCTAACAGCAAGCACCCAATTGAAATCCACTGAAATTTAGCAATGAAATACATATTTGAGGAAAATTAATCAATGCAGAACATGCCCAATTTCAGAAAGAAACCAATAATAAGAAAAGAATCCAAACTGATAGGTTGGTTAACAAGAAACCCAAGAAAGAAATAAATTAATCATAGAATAGAAAATTACACATGAAGGTTTTGAGATTAGAATGGACCTCGAGAAGGAAAGTACTGAGACATCGGAGAGTAGATTCTCTTAGGGCTTGGTCGTGAAGTTCGATGATGACTTGAGGAATTGCCATAGCTCTCTTCGACATCCAGCGCACTTTGTGCTTCTTTCGTCCACTTTTTTGAACTTTAGCAATTGAAAAATCTGTGATAATCAAAGAACACGTCAAGGTAATGAATCAATGAGAATTGAGAGAGAGAGACCTTGATCGATCTTGGAGTTGTAAAGGAGGTGGAGAGTTCGTTCTTCCCATGGCTCGTCTTGAAGGCCGTTGTGAATGTCTTCGTCGGCCATTACTGTTCACCGATTGTTTGGGTCTCTTTCTTGCTCTTGCTCTTGAATAGTACCAGAAATGATGAGAGAGAGAGAGAGAGATAGAGAGAGAGAGAAGACTTTTGGAGGGAAACAGAGGAGATGATGAATGGACTGTTGGAAAATTTCGGTTACCCTTTAATCGTCTTTTAATTTAACTAATTTTTACTTTTGATCCCTCACTTTTTAAATAATTACAGTAAAGTCTGTACACTTCCTTCTTGTATTTTAATGTACCCCTTCCATCATAACATCATTTAAATCTAGGTGAAAATTGAAACCTATAAAATTAAAATAAAATTTGAGTAAAAATTGAAATGTAGAGATTTTAATTTTCTTTGCTCATAAAATGTATTCACGTGACTTTTTTATGAAAAATTTCTATATCAAATTTTAGCAATAATTGATGCGAGAATTACACTGAAACACAAATGAAAGCAAAAGACTTAATTGAATATAAAAAATTAGGACTAACTAAAATTTGAATGAAAGTTAGATGATCTAAAAATATAATTTACTCACAAAAAATTGAGGGAATTACAAGATAGTGAAAAAATGAAGAAAATATTTACTAAAAAGTGGAGTACAACTTTTTATGTATATATTTGTAATTATTTTTATTTTTTTACAATGAGTTATAATTTTTTCCCACAAAAAAAAAAAAAAATCATAGAATAACACGTAAAAATACGACCAACTTTTAGAACAAACGCAGAGTAAAGTGAGAGAAAAACATGACAAGCTACAAAAACTAGAAAGAAATAGTTGGTTTTCTTAACTGCAAGAATTGTTAGCTTTGAACTGCATAGCATTGGAAACCCAATTAAGACAATCAAGAAAAATTCAGCAAGGACACAAAAAACACAATTCATTCTAATATTGACAACTGCCACTCTGCCAACCAAAACAAAAATTAGGAGCAAAAAAAAAAAAAAAATAACAATATATGAAACTAGTAGACAAAAAAATTAACCTAGAATTAGGTTCCCAAGTCATAATGATTAATGATATTTACATCAATGCATGTAAAAAAGGGCATGGCTGATGCTAATTGGCAGTGCTGTCAACCACCTTGTTTAGTTTCTTGTTCTTCAATCTCTCATCATACACCTCACTCCCTTGGCATTCATACCTATACACATACACAAAACAAAACCAAAATTCAGCCCAAATTAATTTTCAAAGGCATAATTAGGACGAACTCAAGAAAGCACTACTAAATCAAGTCAGAAATCAGATCCACAACCATCTGATCAATCCAACTTTGTTTCAGAGCATTTTGCAAACCGACACATCATAGCAGAAGGAAGCCAATATGGCCCCAAGAATGGTGGCAGTGTGATTGGCCTTGTTTTACCAAAGGCTTCTTCTTACCTAGGCGGTAAGGAGATCAGAGGACTCAAGCTTTCTGCAAGTTTCACAGCTTCTTCCTCAGTATTCACAATCTGATTGAAGCAGAAGTATCGCCCACATGTTGACGGATCCTCAAAAGCTCGAATATGCACATCAGCTAGAAAGTTTGCATCAACTATGGCTAAGACTCCATTTTCATACATCTGGGCCGCTCCTGTTCAAAGTTATTATTAGCATCAGAAGATCAAATAGTTAACTCCAGTCCAGTGCGACTCTTAAAGTTAATTGAAGTAAATTAAGAAAAATGGACATTTGTTATGCTTTACATTCTTTACCTTTAAGATATGACATAGTCACCTGAGGATTCTTTTGAGCAATGCCAGGTCCAAGAACCAGTCCTGCATTAATAGACACCATGTTAAGCATTCGGTCCATGGCTAGTGCCCATGCAGCCTGCTCGGAGAGGGTCTTTGCTAATGCATACCACAACTGAAAAATATTACAGAGTAGACATTTACTCGAGATGTTTATACAAACCGACGGAGTGGTTTAAAAATGGTATCATAAGTAGGTTTCCGTCTTACTTTATTGAAGGATTTATGGTACACCTTATCTCAACCACCTTCAATATTTTAGTCATGTTCGAGCTCCAGCATATTTTAAAAGATTTCATATGAGTTGCTAACTTAAAATATTTAAAGACCAATAGGTGGAACCCCCTGCTTTTGTAAATTGTTGAGTCTAGTTATCAAAAGTTGGAATAATCTGAATTGGTTTGACAAAAAAGTTGGCGAAATTCATGTAGAAAACATAAAATTAATGGTTTCCATTACCCATTGTTTTGTACCATGACAATAAATCCAGCTTATTAATTAAATGTATCAATAGAACTATTTACTTTTTATGCTAGTGACTCTTAATCAAAATTAAACAGGCCCTTAGATTTGTTCGTGACCCTCCTGGAGCATTATAAGGTGAAAATCTCATGTGCAAGGCTATAGTAAAGATGATACCAATGATTTTATAAGTTATCATGACTATGGTTATACAACAATTGGACCAGAATCCAAAAACATATTGTTTCTTCTCTTTATGTATTGATTGAATTTCTTCATAGGAAAAGGACTAATTTAAAGTAACGACTAGAAGTAATTTTATGAACTTGTTTTTTGGCATGCTTGTTTTTTTTTTTTTTTTTTTTTGTAAAAAAATGTTATCTTGTGGATTAGAAGTACCTTAAAAAAGCAAAAAAACATAGTGCATGTTTGGGAAGTGGGTTTTTTTGTAGGTTTTTTTAATTGTAGGATATTATTGGAGAAAAAAAATTTTGTGTTTGGGAAGATAGTTGGATTTTTTTGTGGTTGGATATGATGTTTGTGAGAGGAAAAGTGAAATGATTATGGGGTTTGATGTGATATTTTGTTTGGATTTGTAACCAATTTGTCTTTTAGTGGAAAAAAACAAAAAAACAAAAAAAAATTCAAAAAATTTCTTTCCAAGCACCGCCATAATCAGTTGGAGCTTTCAAAAACAAAAATTACCAATTCAATTCCCTACATCTAAATTTCAGCCTGAAGTAAAAACTAATGAGCCTCCATAATTCAAGCCGCATATATACCATTTGGCACATTAACAAGAGGAATGAAGAAGAAAATATCAAAACAAACAAGAAGGCAAAAGATGAGGGTTTAATAACAATCGTCTCTAGGTTTATGAAGAAAAAATGAAGACAAGGATGGATAAGGCCAAAGCAGAGGCTCACCTGGGTCTCCTTCAATTAAATTATATACTTTGTGCTACATTGTTGTACTCTCAACATCACTGTCTCTTTGGAAAGGGAAATCATGTTAAATTGAGAAGGATTTGTTTTTCCAAATCATCCATCCTAATCCTCCCAATTCTTTCATCTTTCCATGAACCATGGTGGAAATTGGAACACTGCTTAAAATTTCCTTCCTCCTTACTAACAATGTCTTGCTAGTGTGAAGGAAAACCTACCAAACTGTTAAGCATGCTTGGTGGAACAATAAAGAATTCTAACTGTTGGGAGAAAATCTATTACATTCCGTTTGGAGTGGAGGGAGAGGGACCCCGAGTGTATTTATTATTATGTAAATGATTTGGATAGTAATTGAACCAATTTGACTCAAAATAGAAATTACAAGAACGAAATTGACAAAATTGAACTAAAGTGACAAGGAACACATTCAGGGACCATGTGTGTATTTTATCTAAAATTTTATACTATCTTGTCATAAAATAAGGGTATAATAGGTATTGGAATTATATATAAAACCATCACGTCATAATCCCTCAATTTCCTCACAAGTGCTAAAATTGTGGGCACTCACTCCCCTCACAATCCCTCCTTATACTTCACTTCTCCCTTGAATCTCCTAATCTAAGCATAGTGTTAGTTACTTACTAGTGTTTTGGGAAAGCATATGAACTAAAGCCACTAGAAGAACAATATATTAAACTGAAAAAGAAAGAAACTTTTTTTTTTTTTGGTCTAAATTTGTTTGGTTTTGAGATGTTATAAACCAATTGGTGTCAGATCACATGATCGATAGGTAATTCCAACATTCTGAAGCCACTAATAGTCTCAACATTATACTAACAAGTGATTCAAATCTTTGGGCAAACCACACAACAAAGGCCTCTAGTTAAGAACTTAAATGAATAAAAAAATTAAAAATTAAAAATAAAAAGAAGAAGAAAATAAATTGAAATGAATCTCCCTTGAATCTCCTAATCTAAGCATAGTGTTAGTTACTTACTAGTGTTTTGGGAAAGCATATGAACTAAAGCCACTAGAAGAACAATATATTAAACTGAAAAAGAAAGAAACTTTTTTTTTTTTTGGTCTAAATTTGTTTGGTTTTGAGATGTTATAAACCAATTGGTATCAGATCAGATGATCGATGGGTAATTCCAACATTCTGAAGCCACTAATAGTCTCAACATTATACTAACAACTGATTCAAATCTTTGGGCAAACCACACAACAAAGGTCTCTAGTTAAGAACTTAAATGAATAAAAAAATTAAAAATTAAAAATAAAAAGAAGAAGAAAATAAATTGAAATGAAATGAAAGGAGATGCATATATATATATATATATATAACCACAGACCTTGGTTTTTCTGCAGAATTCATGATCACTCCATGACCTTTCATCAACATCCTTCTCTGAGCAAATATTCTCTCCCCATATTGCTGCAGTTAGAGAAGAATTGAACACAATCTTCTCAATACTCTCTGCTTGTGCACATGCCTCTACCACATTGATTGCTCCTCTCACCTCCAAATCTATCATTTTATCCTATCCATAAATACCGCCACCCAATTAATAATCAAGTTATAATAATATATGAATGTCCTTAAAGACAATATATACATACATATATATATACACATGATGATACACAACATGGGCCATCCCATTCATGTTAGTGATTGATGAGGAATTCAACTCACATCATATCCTTGTGGACTATCTGAACAGCAGAACAAAGCATTACAGCCCTTTAAGGCTTAAAGAATGCTAGGGTAATCCAACACATCCACAGTAAACACCACTAATTTTTCCTCTACCCTCTCCATTTCCCCTATTAACTTAACTAGCTCTGTCTCTCCTGCATCAAAGCAAAACCCACAAAAAGAAACCCATGTTCAACAAACAACTCAACCTCGCAGAACTTTCCTCAAACACAAAACACGCACTGACACACACACACACAGATCTTGCCATTCTTTTGGGTAGCTGCT